TTTTAGTTATATATACTATATATAAGAGTATATATCAAACAAAATTTCAGCTGAAGAGCAATAATTGAAAAATGACAAAGAAAATGTGTTTTATAGAAGTATAGAAGAATCACCGCTGTTAAGCTGCTGCTTTATTTCCTTTTTTTTGAGTTAAGTTAGTGTCTATTAAAAAAGGTAATAGTAAGGCCATTCATTAAGTTTTTTGGTTTCAGTAATAGTTGCTTGCATATTAGCTTATGTTCGATGGGTTGCTTCTCGTGCTAAATTGTTGATGCGTGGGAAGCATCTTGAAAGACTTGCTTTAACGAGCCGATTTGAATTCAAGCCGCCAGTATTTTTGGATTTAGGACTTAGTGATATTCCACTGTTCCGTATGTCGCTTCAATAAATCATTGATGATCTTCACTGATTGACCGTGCAATAATGATTTAAAGACCTCTTCTGTTTTCGTTATTGCAGAAAAGTAACAGGAAACTAACTAAAGAAATGTGTGAAATTCTAATGGCAGAGAAACTATTTTTTAGGCAGTGGACATTGGAGATGGAAGCATCAAAACTTGGCATTTTTTGCAAGTCGTGGACAACGACCATATATGGAAGATCGTATGCATTACATGTTCGATCCATATAACAGCATCTTGATTTTTAGCATATTTGACGGCCATGGCGGACCGGTAAATAAACACAGCTGTTTCACACCTTATCTTTAAAGATTTGATAATTTTTTAGAAACAAAACAAAATTCTTGAGAAAGTTAACTAAAATTTAGTGAATTTAAATGAAAAAACTTTTTGATGATTGCTAAATCAGTTATTAAAAAAAAACTTGTATTCTTGATCTGACAATTGTAAAGTAAAGTTTGCTAGTGGTAATAAAAGAATCTATGGCTAATACGTCACGCTTTCTCTCTATGGTCATCGAATAAGCCTGATTTGCAGTATGTTTCTCAGTATCTTGAGAAGAACTATGCAAATGCATTGCGAAGACGGTTGTTGGAATTTGCTGCAAATGCTACTACCGAATCACTGACGTCAAAAGAATTTCGTGACTGCTTTGCTGAGGTATTTCAGTTGTGTTTTAGAAAAAAAAGTTATTCAGACAGTGGAAGAAATAAATGATTACGGTTAAGTAAAATAAGAAAGAATGTATGTAGACAAACCTGTTTAAAAAGAACAAAAATTTGCATTTTTCTTATTGTAATAATTTAACCTTGAAGTAAGAAGCAGAAACAAAATTTATCGTTACGTTTGGGAACAACAAAGCTTTTTTTGATTAGACACCACTACCGTTTGTTTAATAATCTAAAGAATTTGCTCTTTGAAGTAGTAAAGTAACAGACAGATTCATATTGTTCAGAAATCTTTTTTCAAAGTGTATTATAAATCGCTGAAGAGCAGCAGAAAGAAAAGGTGAGAAAAAAAAAAAGGGAAATAGATTGTATTACTGAAATGAATTACTTTTTCGTTTCACTTTTTCTTTCTTTAAGTAATAATCTCAAACTTTCTTCCTGAGAAAAAGCTAAGTTCTTGTTTTAAGGTATTTTGTAGTTTACATCTTTTTTTTTCTTTTAAAGGCGATTATCACTGAAGTTCATAATCTGGATGACGCTATATCAAGGATGCATGCATCTTATACGCTTTATACAGGTAAAAACTTTAAAGCTTTTTATGATAAACATTATTTTCATATTTCTATTTTGTTTCAAATAAAAGAATAAAAAAACAGTTTAGTTACAGATCAGAGAAGCAAAAAAAAAAAGTATCAGATGAATATAGTTTTTGAGTTTTGTAATAGGTTTATGTTTGTATTTGTCCATCTTTTTTTTTCCCCCTAATCTCTCATTTGAATTGCAGTTAATGAGTATTGTTGATATGGTAAAGTCAACCAAGCTAATAAGTGTTTAACTAAATTAAATTTTATAAATTTTTAAAATTGGTTAACTGAACGTAATTCAGTGTAAAGAAAGCTTCAAAAATTAAAAAATCAAAAATCTAATGCGTAAAAATAGAAGAAATTTGTTGTTTTTTTTTTTCAAACGAACCGTAATTTTTTCAAATATAATTGTCAAATAAAGTTTGGTGATTCAAAAAATTACCAACATCTTTTACAGGTTCAACACTAATATCCGTCATTCTTGAAAAACATCGCTATTTAACTGTAGTCAATGTTGGCGATTCTCGAGCGGTAGCTTGTGATGGAAGAGGTCGTGCAGTTCCACTGTCTGAAGACCACAAACCATCTGATGTTAGTTAAAAAGTTCTTCTTCTTCTTCTTCTTTTTTTTTTCTTATTCATTTGTTCACTTGACAAAACAATCATTTTAGGTGCATTATCAACGGTTTTTTTTTCCATTTTTATCTTATTCAAATACTCTTTTCTCAGTGTTAAAACTATATAGTTGAATCACTAGTTTACGATACAACGAGTAGTAGTTGTTGCCTGTGCAAATTTTGGCTGTTACTTGATTAAAATGTTCAAAAATTTTAAATAAATTTTTCTTTTTTTGCTTAATTTAAGTTAAAGATGTATTGGTTTAGCAGACTGCATAAACTAAAGTTTTCTTTTACACAGATTTGATTAGGTAAAAGTTGCGTGCTTGAAAAAAAATTTTTCAAAATAATTGACAGCATGTTCGTAATTGATTCAATTAAAATAACCATTTTTTTTTTATCGTTATAAAGTGATTGACCTGGTTTCCTTAGTTTTCTCAACTTTTTTTTTT